GTCAGCCCTGTGTCGCTTCTGTGAGGGTCAGTCGTTGTCCTGTCCCCTTTGCCTCAATTGCCCCTCCAGGAGCGCCCCTCACCCCTGTATCTTTCTATCCCTCTCTGGTGATTGGATGGGCCCCACTCAAGTGAAGTGCCCCTTTGGTCAGGGTTGGCTGATAGTGGGGACAGGTCACCTCACTCTGTGGAGCCCCTTCTGCTCCCTCCTCACCCCCTCCCTCCCAGGTGTCTCCACCCCTGACCAGACCGGTCTGCACTCAGGCCCTCTCATTCTGCCACCTCCTCTCTTTGGGGGCCCACCCCTCGGATTGTCCATCTGTCCACGTGGCAGGGCGGTCAGGTCCAGAGCCTTTGTGCGTTTTCACTGGAAACCTCGTGGTGACAGGACTCTTCCTTTCCTCCCTGGTCCCATCCATCCCCTCCACTCTCTCCACACACATGCTCACGCACACACAAACACACTCTTCCACACATTCACGCAGTCACACACACACCACACACACTCAAACACACACACTCCTCACAGAAGCACATTCACACACTCACACACATACAAATCATACTCGTACACTCAATCACATGCACACACACTCACACACGTACACTCTCACAAACACACACTCAAACCCATACACCCACACACAAAAACACACTCATACTCAACACTTACTCAAATTCACCCTTCAACACTCAATCATACTCAATCACACACTCACTCACATACTCACTTGCATTCACACACACTCACACATTCATACACGCGCACACACTCACTATACACACCCACACGTAGACAATCATACTCATACACTCAATCACACACACTCAAATTCACTCACATACTCACTTGCACTCAGACACACACTCCCACACACACTCATACACACTCACACGCACTCACATACTTGTACGCACACACACAATCATACACATTTAAGCACACACTCTCACACACTCACATACTTGCACTCACACAAACTCATAATCATACTCACAGTCAATCACACACACTCACACTCACTCATACTTGCACTGACACACCCACATACTCATATTCACACATTCAATCATACTCAATCCCACTCACACACAATTATACTCTTACCCTCACACGCAATCATACACACACTCACCCATACACTCATACCACACAGTCACACACACTCACCTGCACGCATACTCACATACACTGGGCCCAGTACCACCCCTTGGTTAACCCAGGTTGTCCTTCAGGAGGGCGCTGCTCTGTTCATCAAAAAGACCAGGCGCCCAGGAACACGCAGGCCCTCAGCTGCGGTCCTGAGTGAGAGCAGGCTATCTGGGGGGCTCAGCCAGCTGATTCCGGGTCTGGTCAGGGGGGCCAGGAGGAGGGAACAGGCGGGCTGAGCAGGCGGTGACCGAGGGCAGATGGGGTGCTCCAAGAAGCCCGTCTCTGAGTCATGTAGCCACTCCTGGGTGAGTGTCCTGGGAAACACCCACCCTCACACCCACAATGGGTTCCAGCTCCTTGGGAGAAGTCCCTCCACCCAGATGTCCTTAGCTCAGGCTGCCATGTCACAGCTCCATCTCTGGAGGGTGGAGGCGACGGATGGCAGGGAGGGCTGTCTAGGGCCTAGATCCCCAAACTCAGCAGCTTTCAGGGTCACCCGGGACCCACTGAATCGAGCCCCCAGTGCTCAGTTTTCCACCTGATGGTCAGACTCTTGCCCGGGAGCTGTCTTTTGTCCAGATCCCCAGGGGATCCCCAGGGTCAGCCTAGTTTGGGGGCCTGGGGTCTCGGAGGAGAAGCAGCGCAGGGACCGGGGTGTCACGGGGCCCGCCCTTGCAGGCAACAGCGAGCTCGGTGCCGGAGCCGAATCCAGGCTCTCCGCAGCCCCGGGTTGCTCAGGATCAGCAGGCCGGCGTGGCCGGTGGGATAGGCAGCCACTAGCACCTTGCACAGGATGTCCCCGGGACCGCTGGCCCGGAAGATGTTGGCCATGGACAGGAACAGTGCGACGGAGTTGATGATGTAGAGGACAAGGAAGGAGCCGATGGCCTTGATGGCCCCCACGTGGGCCTGCGTGCTGGGGTCTCCGGAGCCCGTGGCGCGGCTCCACATGTGCAGCGTGTGCCTCCGGAGGGACAGGATCAGCAGGCTGGCGGCCAGGATGAAAGTGACCAGAGGGAGGAAGATGCCCAGGTGGTAGAGGATGGCCAGGCTGGCCATGTTGCTCTCGGAGAAGTACTTCTTCTCCGTGGTGTTGGAGGCCGGGATGGGGACGGAGCTGTTGACGTACACGTGGAAGACGTTCTTGGAGAAGGGGAAACTGAAGCCCAAGGAGAGGAGGGCCGAGAGCCTCACCAGCCAGGGCATGAGCCCGGAGACCCTCCTCTTCAGCACCAAGAACCAGGGGTGCGTGAAGTTGGCGATCTTCAGGCAGTAGAAGACGTTGAGCCAAGCGGCAAGCCAGAGGTTGAGGTAGTCGAGGAAGACGACCGTGACTTTGAAGAGCGTGTACACGGCGCTTTGGTTGTAGACGCTGAGCCAGAGCAGGCTGAGGACACTCTCCAGCAGCACCCAGAGCTGCAGCAGCAGCCGCGCGATGCTCAACAGGAGCAGGATGTAGTCGCCCGTGGGCATCTGCCTGCCCTGGGCCCACCCTGCGCCGTGGACAGCCACAATGAAGCCGTTGCCGGCCACGCCCACGGCGCACTCCAGCCCCGACGCCAGCAGCGTGAGGAGGCTCTTCAGCCCGGGTGCGCCCTGATCCACGGCGTCCGAGGTCACCGTGGCCATCCCGCCGGCCCAACGGCTCAGGACCCCGGGACAGGAACGCGCCTCTGGCCGCCGCTCGGGGTCATGGCTGTCATTTTGTTCTCCATCTGGGGCATTTCAATATTTCTTATTTTGCTTGTCGCGTGACTACCCTTTAGAAGTCCGGGATGCAAATGCAAGCGGATCAGGTTACTGGAGCGGCATCCATTTGTCAAGAAGATGTATTTGTCTGGGGGTGCAGGACCGCGCCGCCCCAGCCCGTGGTCCCCGCCCCTCTCCCCAGCAGGCCCAAGACTGGCTCCAACCACCTTCCAGCCCGAACAGATCCCGCACCATGGTGACCCCTGGGCCAGCTGGCCTGCTAAATGCTTTACTCTATTGCCTGCAATCCCAGCTCCCCTCTGCCTCCTCCTCCCCTCTGGTCATTTGTGGGGCTGGAGACCCCGCAGCACTTCCCAGGAGTGTGTGCTGGGCACTGCTGTGCTCCCGCAGGCTAGCATAGGCCGGATCTTTGCAAGTAGGTCCCCAGGACTTCCCTGCTAGTCTGCCCGAATGAACGTCCCACCAAAATCTGTCCAGCATCCTTGCCAATATTGTTTGGTGCCATCCAGTCGGTTCAGAGGCACAGCAACCGATGGACAGCCAATGGAGAGCAGCCCGGTCCTGTGTACCATCCCAACAGCTGCCAGACACTGTGCCCATCAGTCACGTGGAGGGCCATCCTCTTTCCGCTGCCCCTCCACTTTACCAAACATGATGACCTTCTCCTGGGACTGGTCTCTCTCGACAAACATGCTGACCTTCTCATGGGCTTGGTCTCTCTGCCAGCATCTGAGCAACACACAAACCGTCACTGGCAGGCACTGGTGGCTGACCATGAGGTCACTGCCCGGGATTGAACCTGGGCCTCTTGCATGGGAGGTAGGCTCTGACCATGAGGTCACTGCTCGGGATTGAACCTGGGCCTCCTGCATGGGAGGGAGGCTCTGAACCCGAGTGAGGAATCACCATCAGCCCACCCAGGGAGAGTGGGGGAGAGGGACTCTTCAAGAAAGTCCAGCTCTTGGACGGTGACCTGAAACCTCATGCAATGCCATTTGGGTCCAGAAGGGACAAGGTGGCCACCTCATCCCAGGTCTCCCCCATTCTAGCTTCCTGGGAGCTAGTACCGACTCTGGGCTCGGGGTCAGTGGGGCAGCCTGGAGAGCTTGGGCAGGGGAGCCCCTCTCCTGCTTCACCCTGCTTGGGGACAAAGGGACTCTGGGGCCTTGAGAAGATGCAGGTGCCTGGGCTTATCTCAGATCTTCTGGGCAGGAGCTCGGACAGGGCCCAGGAGTTCTGCACCCGATGATAAGCTAACAGTTCAAACTGAAGTGGCAGCTGAGACCCAGGCTTCCTAGAGGAGGGCTCTGGGCAGGCTTAGAGGAGCCCCGGTGGCTTATGTTAGGACTGCGCTGCTCACCAAAAGGTCAGCAGTTCAAAACCACCAGCCCCTGGGGGCTCTCTACTCCTACAATCTTGGAAGCTCACAGGGGTTCCTCTACCCAGGCTTATAGGGTCACTATGAGTCAGAATGGACTTGATTGCAGTGACTTTTGAGGCGGGATTTGAGACCCAGGTTTCGCAGGAGACAGGGGTCACTAGGGGGCGGGGGGTTGTCCTGCAGTGGTTTCTACCATCACGGACCTCTAGGGTGGTCGCTTTGGGTACTGTCCGCCAGCCTTTGAAGGTGAAGAGACTACATGGGCTGCACCAAGAATCCGAGGAAGCTGCACTGGTGGGCAGTGCTGGTGCGGATGCGCCCCTCCGCTTCCCAGGCTCGGCCAAAGCCCAGCTGCTGCCGGGTCTCCGCTGCACGCATCCCGCCAGAGCTCTCATGATGTAAATGGAGGGACGGGGAAAGCAGTCTCCACCCCGCAGAATTCATTTCATTGAAAATACCGATACCGACGCGTTACGATGAACATAAGCTTGTCTTAGAGGGGCACTCTCGTTTGTATTAAGAAAGCCCCTGAAAAGGCTGCGGGTTGCAGATGACGCTCCTGTCCACACAGGGCCTGCTGGCAGTGGCGCCTGTGCAGTGGGAGCCTGGCAAGCCTGCCCCTTCCAGAAGAGGCTCATTAACCCTGCGCTCTGCCCGACAGAGAATGCACAGACGCACGCACGCTCTAGCCGGTGGCTTTTACTGTGAGGGCTCAGGCTGCTCACGTTTTGTAGGTCTCGGAGGTTGAGGTCACCTGGCTGCCACCGACTTCCTGCACGCGGCTCCTTTCCTCTCTTTCTCTGATGAGCCATCAAGGTTAGCGGTTCGAACGCACCGGTCGTTCCTTCGGGCAACGATGAGACTTTCTACTCCCATAAACATCTAGTCTCAGAAACCCACAGCTTGGTGCCACTGCGCCGCACTGCGTCGGAATCGAGTTGGTGGCAGTGAATCTGGAATTCGGTCTTTCTGTGATTTTCAGAGTTGGGGTCTGCCCGGAGCCCCTTTGCCGTGCAGGGCGAGGTGGGGAGGGCAGGTGTTGGACTGAGGCTGGCCACAGACTGGCCTCTGCCCCCACCCTCTTCCAGCTACTCCTGGTAGCTGAGTGCTAGTGTGGGGCCAGCCTGTCTGCCCTGCTCTTAGAGGGACCCATTGGGACTTGGGGAGAACCCAGGTGTCGGGTTTCTGGCTACTGGCAGTGAATGCCCCTGTGTAAGAAACCCCTACCCCAGAAGCTCCAGAGCCCACTCACCTGACCGTGCCCCCAGGCCCCCCCCACCCACCGCGTGCTCCCAACACAAGGTGTCAGTGGGAGGCAGTGACCAGGCCTTTCTTCCGGGTCACTACTTAAACCCTTCAGCAACTGACTGTGTGCCCCATCCAGGGACCCCTCTGTGTGCCCCACTCAGTCACTCAAGAAGCCCACCTCCCGGCCCCACCCCCAGCCCTGAGGGGGGTTTCTCAAGGCAAGGAGGTTTCTGCCTGACGCCCTGGGTCTGCCAGCGCGTTCCTGCACTTATGAGCGGTCTGAAGGGTCTGGGGTGGTGGTGGTGGTGGCGAGGAGGCCTGGCTGAACCCAGGACCAGGGTGGCTTCTCAGTGAGTCAGGGTCAGCAACAACGATCAGGGGCCGGCCCAGTATCTGGGGCCCTAAGGCCAGAAGACGAACCAGGTGGGGCAGGCCGGCCAGCAAGTGACCACAAAGAATTTAGTACAGACGGAGATCATGGGTCAGACGGATCCCACGTTAGACGGGTGATGCAGGGGGAGGTCCTGGGGTGAGCCGGGGAGGGCCCAGCTTGCCCACGCCACGCCCGCCATGCTCATGCCACACCCACCACACAGCCACGCCCACCACACCCATGTCACACCCACACCACAGCCACGCCCACGTCCTATCCCGCAGCAGGCATGCACACTTGCAGCAAGAGGTTCCCCACAAAGCACAGGGGACGCTGTGCCCTCACTGTCCTCAGTCACCCCATCTCCACCCCCAGGCTGGGCCCTGGGGAGGATTGGGCATGGGCCAGCTGGGCAGTTGCTCCCCTCCTGGCTGAACCCCTTCACCTCATCTGAAGGGCCAGAGCCTGGGCCTGGTTACCCAGCAGAGCATGCTAGCCTGTAATGGGACTTTTGGGTCAGTAAACAATGGGCCAGCTTCCTGCTCCCCCCAGCGGCCCCCATGCAGCTGGAAAACCCCAGGGGCACCCGGGTCTGGCACGGACTACCCCGCTGGGTGTCTGGGCAAGAACTGGGGCCTGAGACATAAGCACCAGATGCGGGGAACGTTGCCACAGGCTGGAAACAGTCACTGCCCCAAAGGGCTGTGGAGGTGCTGTCCACCTGGTCTGGGTCTGCGCCCACGCTTCAGGGGGTGGGAGCAGAGACCCAGCCCAGGAAGGAGGAACACCGCTGAACCCCCTAGGGCAGCGGTTCTCAAGCTTCCTAATGCTGAGACCCTTTCATATAGGTCCTCATGTTGTCGGAACCCCCAACCATAAAATTGCTTTAATTGCTACGTCATCACTGTCATTTTGCTACTTTTATGAATCGTCATGTAAATAGCTGATATGCAGGATGTATTAGGTGACCCCTGTGAAAGGGTCCTTCGAGCCCCAAAGGGGTGGCAACCCACGGGGTGAGCACTGCTGCCTCGGGTTCTCCATGTTGGCACAGCACCTGTACCCCTGTCACCCAGCCTCTTTGCCAAGGGGGCCCAGCCAAGGCCTCCTGCCAAGCCCAGGGCTGGCTCCACACTGCCAGTTGAAACCAGGGCCCGTAGGCAAAGCGTTCTCATGCTGTGCTGCACACCGGGAGGCTGAAGGGACCACCGATTTGTCAACAGGAGCTGGTCTTGTCTACACAGGAACTTCAGAGGAAAATAGCCCCAAACTGGATTGCACAAATTAGGCAGATGAAAATGTGGCCAGTTTCTGGTTCCAAAACAAAAGTGAACAAATTATGAAAAGTAATATGAAACATAAAACACCTCTATTATTAGTGTATGCTTTTTCAATATTAGCTTGAAGATATGATTTTCAATATCACACACACACACAGCTGGTGGTGTAGTGGCTAAATGGGCTGAGATCCTCAGGGTTGGCATTTTGAAACCACCAGTAGCTTCTTGGGAGAAAGACTGGGCGCAAGCTACTTCCGTAAACAGTGACAGTTTGGGAACCCCACAGGGGGGTCACTATGAGTCAGTGCTGATTATGACAACGAGTTTGGTTTTTGTCTTGTACATATAGACTCATCATCCAACTCATATGACCCCATGGGACTGGGCAGAACTGGGTTATTTACAGAGAGTTACAGTAGAACTGTAACTCTTTCCAGGAGTAGAAAGCCTCATCTTTCTCCCAAGGAGCGGCTGGTGGGTTCAAACTGTTGACCTTGAGGAACGGACTTGATAGCAGTAGGTTACACACACACACACACACACACACACACACACACTACAGGGAAACCAACATCACTGACTCAGTCCCACCTCATGGCCAGTAGAGTTCTGCTCCCCAGGGCTGGTTTTCAGAAGA